TCTTTGTCTGTCTAATGGACCGATAACAAAGAGGTTATATAATTTCTTTGACCGATAATCATGTACATAGGGAAGATTCGGACCAAAAAAATCATAGATATAGGGAAGATTCGAACCAAAAATTGTGGACATTACCGACACGATCGTGGACATTGGCTACATAGTTCAACGTCCACGTTTTGTGGACATAGAGGCGCTTCAAAATAAAGTTGCATCTAAATCGCGGGCAAGAATTTACAAGAAGAAGATGGCCGCTCTCATGCTTCTCTCTGCTAGCACACGTTATTATAACCAGAGAGAAACCTTTATAACTCATGCACGTATATATAGCCACATATAGCGATACATGCAGTCGGTATGACAGATTTCCTAATCTCAATAGTTGTCAACTTCATCTCGGTTTATACGACAGAACGACGCTTATTTCTGCTGATTTCTGCCAGATTCTTTCGTTTCGAGCAAAGACGCGTCAAATAAGCTTAATTTTATTGATTTTTAAGCTGCGAGACATATAACGTATAACCACCGAAACTCCTTGAAGGCGCATAACTCCTATAAATCCGTGATAATAACTTAAAAGAACGAAATCGAAGAATAAATTACTATCCATAAGAGAAAAAAGAACAGCAGGAAATTGGATACAAACACAGAGTTATGGAAGTGTTTCTTAACGCCTCAAAAATCGCATTGGTAATCATTTTTTACACATAATCCAGAATACTTATTATTTTACATTAAATCTATTTTATTTATATTTTATTGCAGTCCAGGTTGTCAGTGTATCAAACAATTCGTGTCGTCTTGGGAAATCCAACATGCGACTTGGATTCTGCTATATGTACTTTGATCCAAGGATTATTAGAGTATAGTGATACCGAGAGACATAGATTTACCGATATTGCCGTAATACCAGTCATGAATATCCCCGAAAAAGAATTTCGTATTAAGACAGAAGTTGTTTACAGCCTGAAGTCTCATAACATCCCACTGAACTTGTTAACGTTCAGGTAAGCCTGGGCTTCTAGAAAGCAATGGTCACGTTCAGCAGACTCAACTGTTGCAGAGCAGATCGATGAATGCTCATTGTTATCTTTTAGATCATCCAGTAACAGCAATTGCTCACAGATTTGCTCTGTAACAGTTGAGTCTACAGAACGTGACCAATTTGAGTGTTGTGCTATTTCATTATACTCTTGACAGAGATCAGATTGATTTGCAAAATATACAGAATGATGCCAACAAGAAGCTGGAGCTGATTTTAGTTGATCATCATATTCTTGCTGACGAAGATGTCGAGTTGAAGCCTTCAGTTGTAATGATCATTGATCATCGCCCATTGGATCCAGCCTGGTCATGGCCTAATATACCATTAAATATAGAAATTGTTGGAAGCTGTGCCACTCTTGTTGCACGGAATGTCCTACAGAAGAATCCAGATATGCTAGATATACAACTCTCGAGTCTCTTGCGAGGTAAATATATATATATTTTTTTATAAAAGATTATTAATACAAAAACGCAAAACTTTTATTATATAGTATTCAACATTTTCTGCAGGTCCGATATTGATCGACACTTATAATATGTCTGATGAAGCTGGTCGAGCAACTGCTACTGATGTTGATGTACTAAATACTCTAGAGCAAATAGGTAGACTTATATCCGACCGAACTGATATATTTAAAAAGATTATGCATGCAAAAACAGACATCAGTGATTTGACTCTTGAAGAACTTATGATTAAAGATCTAAAAGTAACGAATAGAATACCTCTCGTTGGATTTTCCCTTTTAGTAGAGGTGCGTTATTTAGAATTATTTTATTATTAATGTAAACTAATTTTTTAAATCAATTTATAAAATATAACAATTTACAACAAATTTTATAGGAATTTCTTGTGCGGGAAAATGCAAAAGAGGTTGTTGAACGGTTTGCTAATGAAAGAAATTGTAATGTCGTTGTTCTTATTGGGCAGGACGTCAACAGAGAACGTGTAGCTAGAGATATTGCAATATTTTCAACATTGTGTAATCAATTGGCGAACAATGTGAGTATTATTTAACATAATTGTTGTGCCAAATTGTCTCAGTATGTGCACACATTTTTATTTCATATTTACAGATAATTCAAGCGTTGCTTGAATCTACTCAGCCATCTCTAAATCTCAAATTAATTAAAGAAATTCGAGAAGAGAAATGTAGCCTCTATTTGTACAAACAAGGAAATGTGAAGGTAACACGTAAACAGATATTACCAATTGTACAAAAAACGGCATTATTGCACAGAAATGAGAAAATATAGTATAAGTACGTAGAAAATATAGAATAAAAAATGTTGCGGAGGTATAAAGTTTATTAATAAATTAAAAAATATTTTAGTTTTACATGCTTTAGAATACCTCCTTTCATCACATGATAGGTTTCTTGCTTCTTACTCTATCATTAGAATTAATATATATTGTATGTGTGTGTGTGTGTGTGTGTGTGCGTGTGTGTGCGCGCGCGCGCACATATATACAATAAATCTATCGTTTATATGTTTATGACAAAACACTTATAAATTTAATGTACATATGTATCTGTCCCTATTAGTGTGTAATTATTATCTAAATGTAGCTCAAAATATGTTTACTTGAAATCAATATCAGTTTTTCAATTTTTTTTTTCATAATATTTTTTAATCTAAAAATATTAAAATTTTGTAATGTTTTTGTTCTTATTAATGTACTCCTCTAAGAACGGATGGCCCTATTAATGTGCCTTCAATTTGTGTACCTATTTGCACTAATTTAACACATGGACGCTGACTTTTATGGGGAGTGTACGCCACACATATATCAGAATTTTTCATGTATGGAATTCCACACATGAAATATTTTTTGAAAATATAACTATTGTTGATAATAATCAGTGTTTTTTTTTCTGCCTTGAGAAGGTTGAAAACGTATTTGCATTCTACGATGCAACAAAATCGTTTATAATTAAATTTAAGTTTAGTAACTATTGCATGTGCATTTCGAGATATTGCTGAAACTTTGAACACTGGTCACTTATGGATGAATTCATTGTAAAAGTAATTTTTGTAGTATGTATCTATCAATATTTGCTTTAAGTATTTCAACAAGTTAAACGAAAATATTTATAAGAATTTATTATATTAGGATTTTGCTGTTCCTTATTCTGTTATATCCTGATGTGAAAGTTTATAAAGAGATTTTGAATAGCGAAATTTTTGTTGTGCTCCCCCCGTCCCTTCTGTCACACCCAACTCCAGATAAGACAAATTAAAAAATCAGCTCTTCATTTTAACATATAAGTTATGTATTATATACATTAATAATTTAACTAAAAAAATTTTTTTGTTATGCTGATTTTTTTATATATATATGGCTTATTTAGATACGAAAACACGATAATAGGGACAGTTACTGTGTATGAAATCGTGTGTAAATATATCAATATATATCGAATTGAATATAATATTAAATTAATGGTGTATTTTGTTTCGAAAAAGGTTGACGCATTTCGAGCTTATGTGAAGCTTTTGTCGAGGCTCGTATTGTGGGGAAAAATATCTCGATTATCGGAAATTTTATGATTTTGCGCAGTGAAACACTACCACTATCGCCATTGGTTGTCGGAACGTCACACCCCTCGACGTTATCACGTAACATCCCCGAAAAGTCCTTTCCTCCCCTAATATCGCAGTGATCGTGGAGAGCAATGTCGCGGCTATCAGTCATCCCTCGCTCGCAAAAATATTGCGGAGATGTGCGGGATCGAGATACATCGTGAGCACTGTTGAACAGTCATTCTGCATCGGGCGATAGAGACGCGAAAATACGAGTCGAGCGGAGCAGTTAAAGCGCCAAACTCAACGAGCAAAAGGAGCTTATTATTAACGCGACGCACGTGTTCCATTTAAAATTATGAGGCTGGCCTCGGAGCGTCGGCAGCATCCCCCGAACGGTAAGGACAATGTATAGCTGTATACACTCTGTTGAAGATCAAAAAGGGAATCTTTTCTGCTTAACGCGGGCATCTCTTAACAATCTTTCCTGAGATGGGATCAGACGCGCTCGGCAAAAAAGATAAAAGAGGGGTGGAAAAAAAGATAGGAAATAAATTATGAAACACGTACGAATTTTGCTCACCCGTGAAATAACGCATATTGATCGTTCCATACTTGTTGCGCAGAGACAACAGCCGGGTTAAGCTACGCCGTGTATCAACATCCCCACCCTGTGCGAGAGCGAAAAGCTGCATCGTATCTCGCGGCTGTCGCCGTTTCGTAAAATTGCATTTGTTCTTCTGGATAAAAAGACAGCGCATCGCGCGGTGTTCTCCCTGCGAAAATAACGGGGGGATGAGAGAGTTCCTCGAGCTGTATTATGATTTATAAATGTGCTCGGAGTATCGGTACGCGTCGCGTTATCGCAACATATCATGGAGACCGTACGCCTTTTGATAAGAGTCCTAATACTGTTCAGCTGGTACGCGAAGGGATTTGTTGGGAACACTCTCGGTAAGTTGGCCTTCATTACTTTACTTCGTTATCAATCCTTTCGTATGCGTGGGGTAACATTTATTTTACAATATTTAGATTCTGTTCAGCTGGTACGCGAAGGGATTTGTTGGGAACACTCTCGGTAAGTTGGCCTTCATTACTTTACTTCGTTATCAATCCTTTCGTATGCGTGGGGTAACATTTATTTTACAATATTTAGATATTTATGTAGACTTATATAGAATAATTATATATATAATAATTATTATATATAGAAGATTTTATATATAGAATAATTTTCATATATTGAATTTACAGGACTCATATGGTGTCTTTTGACACAAAATTTTTACTCTCCCTTCAATCTTTAAATTTTTGAAAAAATTATAATTTGTACTCATTATATAATTATCAAAGACTGATTAACGGCATACGTAAATGAGATAATTTTAATTAATTAATAATAACGACAAAGAAGCAAACCTAAGTAAAAATATAAATAATAAATGCATTTTTTAGTTATTTGTCCATAAATATATATACATATATATATAATTGTACTATTTTATTTATATAATGTTTACACAAGTAATAATCACAAAAGCCAAGTTATAACATTTAATTTTGTATCAAATATTCGATATCTTTATAAATGTGTAAAGAATATGTGTGAATTATATACATATATTCACTTCAACTCTGAAATATTCCAAATATGTAATGATGATCATAATTTTAGAAAAATGTATTCTTCCACTTGGCATGGAAGAAGGAAAAATCCCAGACGAAGCAATCACTGCGTCCTCTAGTTACGAGATGAAATCCGTCGGCCCTCAAAATGCGAGGTACAGAAATTAATACGAAAACATGGATAATTATTATGTACAGCCATTGCAATGATATATACGAATATTTATAGAATACGGCAGGAAAAGAACGGTGGTGCTTGGTGTCCAAAGGCTCAAATTAGTAGCGCCATACGCGAATACCTGGAAATCGATCTGACGAGAGATCACCTTATTACATGGACCGAGACCCAGGGAAGATTCGGTAATGGTCAAGGTCAAGAATATGCCGAGGCATTTTTTCTAGAATATCGACGGCACGAAAAGTGGCATCAGTACAAAGATTTAAGAGGGAACAAGGTATGTCCGATTATTAAAATAAAGATTAATTTATAAAGATTGAAATAATTTGCAATTAGAAAGTTCGCAAAATATCGCTCTTCAAACTCTTTTTGGAAAACTATATTAATTTAGATTTAATTTCTTAACTTAAGAATCAATAACTTTTGGATTATAAATTTGTTATAAAAAATCAATAACTTTCTAAGATTAATTTCGTATTGACTGAGATTCAAAAATTTGTCAAGAGAAAAGCCATTGGCGCATAAGCGAATTTTTTTAAAGAGTTAATTAAAAATTATTATTTAAATTATTACATTTAAAAAGTATTGTTTAAATATAATTCGTAAAACATTTTTTTAATTATATTTACACAAAATAAGAAGCATGAAATTTATGTTTTTTTTTTATATCTACGAATTCCTCAAAAAATAGTTTTAGAATATCGAAATTAATTAATTAAAAAAATATTAAAAATATACACAACATTTTGCTACAAATATTTTTAAAAAAGGAGATTCCATGAAGGAGGATCATGACCTTTATGTCTCCCTCTCGTGAATTTCAGTGATTCGTCGCGTCGTAAAAAATGAATTTGTTTGTTCAAAAAATAAGAATTTTTCTAGTACTTATCGAGGGCAGAAAATTTAATTATACTGACATTCCATTATATTTATATTTTAGGTTCTACGTGGCAATAGCAATACATATCTAGTTGAAAAACAGAAGTTAGATTTACCATTCGTAGCAAGTCGAGTGAGATTTGTTCCTTACAGTCAGCATCCTCGCACTGTATGTATGCGTGTCGAGATTTACGGCTGTATCTGGAATCGTAAGTGTTATACATATGCTATTTTTTTTACGTTTATATTATATTTTTATTTCTTTGTATATATAAAGTTTTTTATATAAATTTTTTATGATAAAAATGTAACGGTTTACTTTTAATCTTAATGATCATTTGTATATAGCATATTTTATGTATCTGAGGTTCATCCAAAAATGAACTACATGGGATTTTTTAAATGATTACGAACACATATATTAATGCACATATTGTATAAAAAAAGTTATTAAAAATATATTTCTTGCATCTAATGTATTGGAGATAGTTTTAAGAGAAATTTTTCTTTTTTGACATTACGCGCAAAACATATAAATATAATACTTATTTTTTAATTTTCAATCTTATATAATATGCACTAACATGTTTTCATAATCATTTTAAAAATCTCAAGTAATTTATTTTTACAACCCTAACACGCGCTATGGATTCCTTATGAACGTTACAGTTGTGACTGTGTTCAATACAGTTTTAAATGCATCTAATTTTTATGAAAATAATATAATTGGTAGCACTATAAAGTTCAAAAATATTAGAAATTTTATATGTAGAGAAATACGGATTTAAAAACAATAATAGATCGAAATAAATAAAATACTTTTTACATTGTTTATGCAGAAGACATTGCTAGTTATACCGCGCCTAAAGCTGATACAGATGGACCTAATGGGTGTAATGTTGAGGATACGTCATACGACGGCACGGAAATTGAGAATTTAATGTTAAACGGTCTAGGACAATTAACCGACGGCATAGTCGGTAACGAAATAGAAATCCTGGAATCCAATAGAGTAACCAACTGGGTCGGATGGCATGATCGAGATAATATAGAATTATTCTTTGAATTCCAATTTTCTCGGAAATTTAGAAATTGTACAATTCATGTAGCCAATCTGCCCGATCTAAGTATTGAGGTGCGTAATTATTCGAAATAAGTTTTTTAATGTAGTAACAAACTTGTTTTAAATTTAATAATTTTTAGATGTTCTCCATAATCAACTTTTGGTTTTCATCGGATGGCAAGGAATATCACGAAACACCGGAAACGTTTCAAATGTTTAATGAGCCTAAGATCAATATTATTTCTAGTAACAGTAATAAAAAGGATGGCAAAAGTAAAAAAAGCATCGTGATATCTATTCCATTGCAATCAAGATTCGGCAAATTTGTCAAGATGGACATAAAACCTCAATCAAAATGGTTGCTGCTAAGCGAGATTACGTTTGAGACAGGTACGATTTGATTTCATTGATACTGATTTTATTACTATACCTACATATTCAAGCTGTATTCAAAATGTATTATTTTTTAATTTAGTTCCAGATGCAAAGAACAACACTGACGGAGCATTGGCACATTTGTCATGGATATATGCGAATAATAACGAGAATATATCCCAAGTAATCAATCAGGATCAAATCGGGAGAATGAAACAGATCGAGGATAAAGAGATTAAAGGGGAGATTGGCGACCTAGAAATTGAAACTGACAACAAGATCAAAGGAGAAGCTGGCGATGGGAGGAAGATTAATATTCAACATGGAGGTATAATGATGGAAAAACCGAAAACTGACTTAAATGAAACAACGTTGGTGTTAAACGAGTCGAACTTAACGCCAGATGCTTTTCCCGTGAACAATTCGCCAACATATATTGGACTAATTAGTGCTGCATTGACTATAATTGTCTTTTTTTTGGGTTGTACGATCTTTCTAATAAAACAAAGAGGTCGCAACAAAGTAGCTCTATTGCAAAAGCATACCGCATTATTATGTGGCTCACCAGCGCCTGGTATCACGATCAATACGAAGGATATCAAATTACCCACACCGATCGTGATAAACAATCTATCACAATCTCGATTATCGTTGAAAAGCAAAATTACTTCAAACAATGATTACAAATTCGGTGATGTCGATACGAGCGAGCAACATAGTATTTATGAGAAAATTAATAAAATATCCCCGCGACCATATGTCAAATGTGAAGCGAGATCCAATTATAAAATAGAACATTTTGGTATGTATAGGTTCATGTATATAATATGTCTGTTATTGACATTAATAATTAGTTCTAATATATTGATTTAATCACAGAAACGGTCAAAGAGCTTTATTTAATATTAGATCCAAATATATTTATATCAATATATAATATCATTATCCAATAATTAACAGAATACAATAATTTATTCGATTTGCTTCTATCTCGATTTCATTCTGTCTACATTTAATAATTTATGTTTGCCCCGATTTTCCTGTATCAGTTGATTTTCATTTAGTCGTGATTAAATTCATATTTAATAATATGAACATTAATTAATAAAATAAACGAAATTATTTATAAACTTGCAACACAAATATCATTTTATTACATTTGTCAAATAATGTTTCTATGTTCAATTAAATGTTTTTTATGCTTGCTCAAATTATATTCTAGCATTATATTAACATGACTTATGTATATATATTTTTCGATTTTTAGATACTAAAACTAGCGAAGATTTCGCTGATGAAGTGGAATGTATAGTGCCAACGATGTCGAAAAAACTGAGTCACTCGCAAACGGGAAAAATGAATCAAAGAGTATATGAGAGTTATTATGCGGCTACGGACATCTTGACGGTAAGAAGATTCGCAATATATAAATAACGGTAATTCATACGATTTTGCGATCGTTAATGCAATGCAGTTAATCGATACAGTATTACGGCATGTTGTAGATTAAAAGACGCGATCAGCATCCCGTTGTGAGTCTTTTCACGCCGCTACTCATTCGGGATTCGATCGTGTCGTACAAACGTGGGACTTATAATGTTCCGCGTATCTCTCGGCACAGATTAAGAATTCTCGATAAGCTCGGCGAAGGAAACTTCGGTTTGGTGAGTCTTGTATTTTCGCGCGATTATTTTCTTAGAATCACTATAAATAAGGCATCTTTAGATAAGGCTTTTCTTTAAATATATTTTATATACATTTTTTTAGGAGATTTTAATTTTTACGTGAAGAGTGAATCTCGTTTGAGTTTATTGCTATATTTTACTTATTTCTGATTACTTTTCTGAACATAAATTGCTTTAAAGGTATCCTTTTTTTTCAGATGTTTGTTTAATATCTTTGTTATTTAATTAAAAAAAAATTAATATAAATATGTGTGAATCTTATTTAGGTACATTTATGTGAAGCAAAAGGCATACAAAATCCGGATCTAGGCATCCTTCTAAACCGTCAAGTAGTTATAGTTCGGTCCTTATGGCGCGGCGTGGTTGACGCTTTAAGGTAAAAACATATTACATTTTATTTAATGAGTTTGCAATGCAAAGCTCTTGATTTTGTATACGAATATATTTTGTTTTAGGGAGGACTTTATGAACGATATGCACATCTTGGCTGAAATACGAGATGTCAATATTGCCAGGATAATCGCGATAGTTGAGGAGGAACCTTTTAGTGCCATTTTCGAATATGGAGAACTCGGGGATTTATCAAGTTTTCTAAAAAGTCACGAACGCGATACACAGATAAGGTAAGATTGCATAACGATTCGATCAGAGATTGGCTACATTCAGTAGAAAAAGCAGCTATGCAACTGTTGTAAAATTTTTGAATATGATTAGTTTATACATTTAGATCCAGTGAGAAACTATAAGGGCAAGACTAACCATATTAAAAAATTTTACAATAGTTGCAAAGCTGCTTTTTCTGCTGAACGCAGCCATTTCATCTATTTTTTTTTTAAATATTCACGAAATAATGAATTCCACAGTTACGAGTGCTCGTTGAATTTGGTGACGCAAATTGCTTCAGGTATGAAATATCTCGAAAGTTTGAACGTACCACATTGTGATCTAGCAGCCAGGTAATAAATTTGTTATGTATATATTTCGTAATAGTATTATGTACGTGTATTTTATTTTGTGTGTCAATACATTTTGTAGGAATTGCATCGTTTGTAAAGATCTGTTGATTAAAGTATCCGATCAGGCCATGTACTGCAATAAATATGACAACGAATATTACGTCAACGAATGCTACGCGAAGATACCATTACGTTGGATGGCATGGGAAGCGGTCTTATCGGTAGTTGTTTATCTTTTAATTAAATAGATTTCGAAAAGAAAAGCAAAGAATCTTGTTTAATTCAGTCTTCAGTCATTCATGTGTCATTTTTTCAAATAAAATAATATAATCTAAAGGATTGTTTTGAGAAAAAAAAAGAAATGTTAAAAAAATTGAGACATTTGATCATTTTATCCGGAAATTTTGTAGATACCATTTAATGAGAATAATATTTTTTGTCCATATTTAGAGAAAACAAAGCTGTCAATCCGATGTTTGGTCGTATGGCGTGACGGTTTGGGAAGTGTTAACGCGCTGCGAAGATGTACCGTACGCCGACATGACTTCAGAACAGGTGTTAGAGAACTGTGGCCTATGGTACTCGGCATTGGACAACGGCAGTAAGAAGAAATGTCCGCGAATTCTCGAGCAGCCGATGTTGTGCACGGATGATCTGTACCGGCTGATGCTGCGATGTTGGTGCAAACTTGCGGAGGATCGACCCAGTTTCCAGGAGATTTACTGCTACCTCAAGAAGCTGACTCTGGATTAAGTGTATGCAAATGTGAACGCATCTCTGCCGAAAGAGAATACGAAAAACGATCCATGCTCCAGCAGCAGCGGCGGCGCGGACCAAATCGATTACAATCAGCTAAGAAGCATCCTGAACTCTTTCTTAATCGCTTTCGCAAGTGGCTCGAATTAATTCGTGAATTGAATCGAATCGAGAAGTCGTAAATGCCTAAACACGACAATGTAGGATGCTCTTTGGCCACTAAAATTACTGCTCAACTAGATTTATCTAATTTTGATTATATAAATAAGGGTAGGCTAATAACGTAATGATAAAGATTCAATGCGGCGGATAATCGCAAGTTTCTCGTACAATCTTCTACGCGTATGTCAAGAAATAATCTGAAAATAAATCTTTCAATGATTATTTCCGTAACAATCAGTATTCCACGAGAAATACGTGATTTCGCGAGCAAGAGAGATTCATCTATTTACTAATTTATTACTTTACATATCTTTCCTACGCTTATACATATATATATTATATATATACACATATGTGATACTCATTATCGTTTTTACTGTTAAAAAATATCGTTCCATTTCTTCTATATCTATTGTCTAGGTAGCCGAACGCAGTAAAATGACGACGTGAACAAGCTTTCCAACGAAACTTGTTGCAGTTTTGCTCGAGTTTATTGCAGATTTTGCGCAAAGCTTTAGTCGCATTTTATCGGCTGAAAACTTTATATCGTCAGAATTCGTTGCATGTAGCCGAAGTAAAATAATATAAGTAAAAAAATCGGCATAAGCGAGCGTAATACTCAATTACGTCGAAGAATGACAATCAGTTTTGCTCACCTATTTATATGTATCTACTTATTTTACGAAATAATATCACGATGTACTCGTATTAATCGATTCAGCTTATCTATCTTACGAAGAAGGCGAATCGTTGGATCTTTAATCAAATTTCGCAGTGGCGCAAGATTTTTAAATATAAATAATCTTCATATATATCTTTCTTATATATATGTATCTCTTAAGCTAAGTCATTTCCAATTTTATTAGGAAATACATAATTCGGGATGTATTTGGAACGAGGGTGCTCTCTTTAACGAATCGTGTTATTAATTCTTCCAATTTAAGAATAAGATTGTATTTTAACAACTTTTGTGTGCCAAATAGTGATAATTTAGAAAGGATATGTTTCAGAATGTAACTTTGTATGAATATTTTGTGTTCAAATGGTTATAGTTAGATCTCTAAAGCATACTTCCATTTTAAGGTACACCTCGTATATAATAACAATGTTACCTAAGAAAACGATAAAAAAAGAGCAAAAGAGCAAAAGAGAGAATCACAACTACGATTATTGGAAACAACAACGATGATAATAACGATTATGGTAAACGTACAATTTTAGATTATATATGTTTATAACAGATGTAACGTTTAATTAAATCAAATTTGTAATATCAATCCTATGTGTTGTTTTCAAACGCAGATCCGATCTAATCTTATTTATGTGTATGTATATTAGTAATTTCTTTAGATTTATTTAATATTGACAAAAACGTTTTAACGAGTTTAACTTCGGAGTAACCAAAACTTTATCTTGCACATAATAATTAATAACTAAATAACACAACACTCTCTCTCTAACAAATAATTATTTATAAATTGATTAACAATTATTATAATCTTGATTCTCACAAATTACAATTTCATATAAGACGTACAATATTCATTTCTCTATGAAAATCCTCGAGGGACTGTTCCCAGCGCTCCTCGAAATATATCCCTAGTAAGAATTTTGCGTTCAATCCGATATTTGTAGACCACAAGAGATAATGGTCTAAGTACAATTGTCTCTGTCTGAAATGTTACACGATGCAAAATAAGCATAATATACTAATGACAATTACAAGCTATTTTAGAAAGATAGTTCACAGGTTTACCTAGGACGTAGTCGACTAGCTCCAAATATTGCGCCAGTTATGCACATTGGTAAATGTGTCTGTAAAGCCTCTACCCACTTAATTGATACCTCTCCTAGCATCGTCGTTGGCATTAGAAGCATAGCATGAAGAATATCGTGCACTTCTCGGTATCGTTGCATCACATAGGCTAGCTCGATATCATCGACAAATTGTACTGCAGATCTATCGTCCGGTGATACATTCTGCAATTATATGGCTCACTCAGGAAAACATGGCATTACATTTTGCTTTGGCTGTTCTCCAGAAAAAAGTGTTATTAACAGTACTTACTAACAGTAGTCTAATTGAAAATTAATCTTCTTAATTCAATGGCAGTATTAATAAAATAACATTTTTACAATTAAAATTACAATAACAATTAAAATAAAAGTATGGCATATTTGTTTAATTAATACTGTCATTGAATTAATAAACTATTTTCAATTAGATTGTCATTGGCTGTTAATATATAATTTTTTCCTGTGCAGATGATAAGATTCATCTTACGTTGTCATCCAAGAAATCGCGATACGTCCTGCCCACAGTCCCAGGCGGCAGGTCTCTGAGGTAAGAAAGGTCGATGGTGGATGTATTAATGCGTGGCTTTTGTGTAAGTATACGTTGACCCTCGCTCATATTCTTCATCTGTTGATGACAATGCATGAGAGCGTTTTTACCGGAGGTTTCTCCGAAACACGCTATCATGTCACCTCGAGATGGATTCGTCAACGATATAGCTGCCGAGCCCATTGTAAGAAGCACACGCTGCAGGGGGGATAAGGATACATGGTGCTTGGCATAATCCTCCAGGAACGCCTCGCAGGCGGTCGCGAAACGGCCTGAAACCGAGTGAGGAAAGTAAGGTCTGAAACTGTGTTGTCAGTTAATAAATAAAATTTATTTCCATTATAAAGTATCCGTCAAGTATGTACAGATTAGTACATATAATTAGATTAATATCTAACTTTATGGCAACGTCGTACCCTAATTGATCTGCTTTTGTAATTAACATAATACTTATCTGGTAACATGACAATTTTACTTTGGTACATATTACAGATAGGTTGTCGATATCATTCTACGCTTCCTAACTTAAATAAGTTAAAAAGCACCTTTTGATATAAGGAACAGAAATATTTATAACAGCTATTTGTCATGTACACATCACCCTGTCATCATTCAGAAGAAAGGAACATAGATTTTAACTTGTTATTAAATTGTTCTTTGTACAGCGCTTTGTATTATACAGAGTCACGTTCTTATAGCATAAAAATTTACAATCATATGGCTTGTATCTTACTGGCCTGAGATTCAGTCAACAATGTATACTTTGGCTGCAGACTCTCTCTTTTACGAAACGTTACCCAAGTATATACTAAGCTACCTATCACACTTAAATTTAATCCTACAAAGTTCAACAACGAAAATATATAGTCTCCACCAATCACCATGCCGAGATACGTCACGCATATATTTTTCAGGCATCCGATTATAGTAGTCGTCAGCGCAGAATTATACAGTGTACAGAGGAGTGTACTGTACGATAGGATAAAACCCATTATGCACGACAATACAAACTGCAGAAGAAACAGTGGATTTGTCCAATTGGGAAACTTTAATGCCAGGTCTATATCGCCCATCCACCAGGCCATAAGGACCGTTGGTCCGAGCATAAACAAAGAATTATAATACATCAGTCCGTACTTTCCTAATTCCTTAGAATCTAGCTTCTTTTTCATATATACACCATTAGCGGCAGTAAAAAAATCGTTCAATAGGATAAAAACATAGCCTTCGAGATTGAAGGCAAGGTCGTTGAGTGCTGCTACCACTGCGCCTAGGATCATAGTGTAAACACTCAGTTGTATGGACAGGCGCGCCTTGATACCGAGGATGTAGTACTCAGCGATCATTGTCATGAGAATACTGAATCTCCTCAGGGCGGTGAACATCGGTAGGCTTAGCTGCTTGGTGCCACCCAGGCCGAATATCATGTTGCCAATGTATATCAGCGGCAACGGCCATATCTTGGCGAAGGTCGTCACCTCCAGATTAGGGAACTCAACATAGCGCAGCCTCTTGGCGAAGAATAGGACCAATATCGTCGCGAGCATCTGGCCGATCCCCAGCACTTGGAAGGACGGGAAGGCGTACGACGTGAGGATGGTTTTGTTGACGACCGTTATCATGAATGATGACAGGCCATAAAAGAACGCCGATGCCACCCGGACGAACATAGCGTTCTGCTCGTGTTCCGTCATCGTGGAAGGATAGAACGGAGCAGCCTGTCGGTCTCTCTGAACTCGTTTTTATTCGTTCATGTGTCTCGTTATCCAAAAACGCCGTTATTGCGATAAATAATAACACGAAATGAGAAACCTACGCTTAGATAACCTTATCATTCTTGTTCCGTTCATGACAGCAGCTCGGACATGTACTGGACCGGCTTTGGAGTGAAGGCCTCAGTGTAATCCCGCGTGAAACGTGTAATTGTCAAGTCTCAAGCGTGTGATGTGATCACAAAGGTATGCAATGAGAGTCCTTCGTCGAACCTCATTCTGCAGCAAAAAAAAAAACAAACCGTGACAGGTGTAGACATGGTGGACTCTAAAGGCGCGAATTCTTAAGCAAAGTTGAGATTTTCGTCAGTATTGTCAGCTGTAATCCAGCATAAAATAGATTCTTTTTTTTATATACGTATATAAGTATATTTTAAAATTAAACTCGCGATAATGTTCTGACCTCAAACATATTTTTTTAGCTTACTTTTTGTCTGTTTCTTTCTTGTAATTACATCTCTAAGAGTATGGATGTGTGAAGAATGAATCTTTCTTGATTGTATGAAAATTACCGATTAATTCTGTAAAATTATTATTCTATGAATCTTCATGAACTCGATCGTGTTTAAGTGCATTTAATGCGAATATGCAAGGAATGATTTTTGGGCACTATAAATTTTCTGTTTTTTTCTTTTGCAATTTCTACATTAAGTTCTAATTTAAATATGCTTTCTGTGAAATATTTTACCTTCGGTTGTATGTAAATTTTCCTTGTCACGATCGGTAAGTTTTTATAAGCGTGATTCGATGCGTGATCGTGCGACACAGGAATGCACGTCTGACATTCTTTGTTTATTCCATGTCATACAGGTTCGTCATTTTTCGCAACACAACGTCGTTACTTTCAGTTCTTATCTCACTACGTCTTGCATTGACGTCGCATATTGCATAACGATTCTATAATCACCAAGCGAGTAAGCTGGAGTAAGCGACAGCGGAATTCGCCGGCACGAATGCCGCCATTTTTTTCGCGATCGGTGATCATCGTGAGTCATCGTGGATCATCGTGAATCGTCGTGGATCATCGCGGAGTATGGATTTCGGCGGTCGGGGGAAGGGGAAGGAGCCTTCTCCTGATTCCCCCACGAGGACGGAAGGTCTGTGTATCCCTCCGCTGCCGGTTGCCATGACAATGACCGGAACGCGGAACTACTTTGCGGAAGTTCGCCCATTAATTCCGGATCGCCGGTGGCGGGCGACACGACTTCCTAGGTATCGCTTCTGAACTCGCGATAGAAATTTCTCGCACACGGTCGACCGAGTCCTGGAACGTGAGCTCGCCGGAGTTACCGCGAGAGCGGTTCCTCGAGAGTCCAGCCAAGCGGTTTGCGTCCCATTGACGTCTGTCGACGTTGCGAGCCGACGTCGATCGGATTCCTCCTGAAGCCGTCCGTGGAAAGGATATCTAGGATTTCCGATGTAAGTACGCGATGACAGCTTTGTACGACCTACTAATACGTCACGTCGAACGATGAGACGTCCTCTGGAACGTCCTGGATACCTGCGAGACTGTTTGCAGAGAAATAAACGCCCCGTATGCAATGGGTAGTTCCGTCCCGTTCGGCGACCGTCAATCGATAATGAGGCTGATATTGACCACTTGGAAATTGATTTTTCTCCCTTGTCTGTTCGTGACATGATCGAACAGGCCTGTGGTGAATTTTCATTGCGGCTGTCTGCTCGCGACACATTACGCTTTTATCTCTATTTCATCTGATTGTTAGTCGCGATTGAAGTCGGTTATACCGGTCATACTCTACAGACGTGACTGTTCTCTACATATATACACACATACATACACACATATATATATATATATATATATATAAAAGGATACGAAGAGTCAGTACTCAGACAACAAAAAGTTTAATATCAAGTTATAAGACAGATTTTACCTCTAAAAGATGACTTAATGATGTCTTCTGTCACAATTTTAGATATTTAATCAATACTGAATCGGTTTATATCTATTTTTACTCATTTGCGATAATGTTTATTGATTCTATTATATAATATATATATTTTCTGATTAAGTAAAATGTTTTTCGTAGTATAAATAAAATTATAAATAGAAATGTATAAGAGTTTTTAATTTAGATATTTTTTTACATTGCAAATTACAATAAATAACAGTCTATATCGAGCTAAATGGATTTAATATTGTTCTTAAATTTATAATATAAGTGAGAACATAAAAGTTAAAAAGTAAAGTGTCGTCCTTGAAAACAGACACTTTAGTTCTTCACTTTTATATGTTCTCATTTATATTATAAATTTAAGAACAATATTAAATCCATTTAGCTCGATATAGACCGTTATTTATTGTAATTTGTACTGCAAAAAACGAGCAAAATTTATTAATTTTAACGCTGGTCTAAAATGCGTTTTTATTTGTTGCCCAGCCAACAAATCCATCACTGAATTTTTGAATTATTTAGCAAACAGACACGGTCTATTTTCAAGGACGACACTTTAGTTTTTCACTTTTATATGTTCTCATTTATATTATACATTTAAGAACAATATTAAATCCATTTAGTTTGTTATAGACCGTTATTTATTATAATTTGCACTGCAAAAAGCAAGCGAAAAATTTATTAAGTTTTTTTACATTAACACTGGATCAGTCTATACCTATTTACTTTTTACCTTCTCTTATATGACAACAATATTTTTTATTTTATCATACAACATATAATATGTAGATATATATTATACCTTTAAAATCTGTAAAATATTCTTTATACTTGAAATTACAAAGAGAAATGTATAAGAGAGTCTTTATAATTTAGATATTCAACATTAGATCAGTTTATTTTACTTTACATTTCTTTGTATACATATAACCTATATATATATTTTATTTTATATACAATATATTATCAGAAATTCAGTAAAATATAATCTGTAGATGTATAATAAAAAATTTGTTTTATTACCAAAAGAATATCATTATTGTACAACTTGTATAATTATTGCGTTTATCTTACGTACGTTCAGATTTGATTGCTTCAAAGATTTATGTAAAAATTAGGAATAGTACAATAATGTCTTAACTGCTTCGTAGCCCATAATTCCATATGCCACGAAGAAAGATATCGCTCTCGTAGGTTGTTGTTGAAAAAATACATATGATACAGTGTGAATTACACGAGAAAGTACAAAAGTTCGAATAAAAGTTTTGGCCAACCATGGCGAAGGTCCTGTTCCTAGCCAGAGGTACGTGACAATGAACCAAGGGAGAATGTTCTCCAAATCGTTTAAGTGTGCCCTACGTACACGCTCCACGTCTGAATCATTGTAAACCACCTTGCCTTTGCTAATGTTTGAAAACGCAATATCTTCTTGATTTGCAAATACCTACAACAGTTGATCATAATTAATTTCATTTTAGCTGATGAACATACAAGCAGTGATATAAACAGGTCACGATTATGATGTAAACACTTAAACAGTCACGATCGCTGCGTTCCCAATTCACTTTCACTGTTGACAATCTATAGCTTACATTACATATATTATAGATTTTTAGTACTGGCAGTAAATATTGAAATACAACCGATAAGATCTGACTGCTTGTTTATTTGGTTAAGAAAGAAAATATATACAAAGTATTTCTTTTAACCCGAACATTTAGAATAAGAATAGTCTTTTTTTGCTTTTATAATAATACAACAAAATATATATAAGAAAAAAAAGTTTGTTTAAAATATTATATTATAATAAATATGTATTATAATATAATCAAATATTATATTATAATAAATATGTATTATAATATAATCAAATATTATATTATAATAAGTAAGACAATTTTTCCAAAATCACATTTTTTGAAATTTTGAGATAATCAATTTTTTTAATGAAATAATTTAAATAAATTCGATAATTTTCTTCTAATTATTCTGCATAAAAAATGATTAGTTATCAAAAAATTAATAATTTACAAGATACTTTATATTTTGTTCTGGTATAATTTGACATGAAATATTTTATAAATTATTCATTTTGATAATTGTATCTTATTGTATTATCTGTACCTTAATACTTATATACGTAGAATAATGAGAGGAATCTCAGTTGGTATAAAGAAAACATATTAATGTAGTTGCTTTAAAAAAATATACAAATTGCAATATGCAGTTACATATTTCTTTTGAAAAACAATTATGTATTTTCTTTACATACTAATTGATTCTGAATATAAAAGTTGATATAGTTATATACATAATATGTGCATATAAAAATGAATAATTTCACGATAAGTTTCATCAAAATGTGCCAGAATAAAATATAAAATTTCATAAATTATTGATTTTTTAAATAATTTTATTTTTATATTCACTTTTAATATACAAAATAACTAGAAGACTCATATAATGCTAAAAATCATATAATTTCATTAAAAAATTGCTATTTTTATTTAAAAGATAATTTTGAAATCTCAAAAAATATTACTTTGAGATAAAATTTTTTTATAATTTTAAAATTAATAATTTTTTTATATGTACTTAATCGTGTCATTAAAAGTAATAAAGATGTTTTAAATATTCGAATCAAAGGAAACATATTGTATATAGAAATAAAAAAATGTAGTAATTTTTAAAAATAATGAAAAAGAAAAAAGGCTCCGAGTCAAAAATTCGTTAAAATATACAATTGTTAGTAAATAAAAATTGTCATTTGGTTAAAATTACATAGTTTAATTAGACAACAGACGTTTCGACCTCTATTAGGTCATTATCAATGCTACAAAAAAAAAAATAATCGCAAGTTGTTAAAACAAAACACAATAATGTACAGAATTATAAAATTAAAAATATAAAAATTATATATAAAATAATAAGTATATACTCTCACTCGCATGGTTGACATTATATTAATTTCGGTACAATAGCTAGTAGAGTCTATAAACCTTTGTGAATCGTTTAGTTATAGTGTATAATTAGTTTCTTATAATATTGTATCAAAGTACAGTTTATAAAATGGTCCATTGTTAGACAATGCAATGAGAGCCAAATTTTAGTTGTTACTCTTAGAAGTTTAAAAATGATATGGTAGTAACTTTTGTTTAGAAATCCAAATATATCTGAATTACTTCCTATTTTCAGTTTAATACCAGTGACAATCAGCTTCAAGATAACCAAAATTTTATGTTTGTTGTTATTTAATTATTTCTTATATGAAGAAAATATATATATAGCATGAATACATAATATAGTACATAATATAATACATAATATAATACATAATATAGTTATCTTATCTTGTATTGACTATTTTGTTACTCACGTTTTTTCTAAATCGCTGTCGTGCAGTTAACGGCACCATTGCCAGCAGTTTCAAAACCAAGATACTGCTCCAAAAGCCGAATACTTTGAGTATTTCTGGATCTATTGCAGGCATCTTTCTGGTCTTCGGATTTGTCTTCTCGAGTATACAATGATGACTCTGCTTGTTTTATACTGTACGCAGTTAGTATCAGTAGAGTGACTTGACTGTTCGACAATAACCGACACGGTTCCCTACTTCACCTAACATACACGTACATACACTCGAGAAACAGATATCTTTCACTATACTTATATACATGTATTGTAATATGTGTGTAATGTGTTTATTAAAAGTGATTATAGTTGTTAATCTTCTAACATGAATCAGCAAATTTCAAGACAAAGTGTGAGAAAAAATAAAATTATTTCTCTTTTGAATATTTAATGAGATAAAATTTCCCCTAAATTTCCGTACCTAATATTTTTCGATGTTACGAAAAATAAAATAATTATTTTGTTTTTGGTATGCTTGTGTGAAACGTAGGACTGCATTCTCTCAAATATATTGGTTCTGTTATTAAATTGATTTTAAAATAATTTAAATAACTAATAACTTTATTTAATCTCACAATTCTCAAGTATTCATATCGTGAAATTTGCATCTTGTAGATTTAATAATTAAAATGAAGTTTCTAGAAATAGTAAATAATTTATGTCTGTAGCTGTTACAATCGTTTTATTACATTCGAAATAAACACATTTTCAGGTTTCGTGGGATAGAAAGAAAAGAATCGTAAATAAAAGATTTACAAGTGCATATCAATATAGTAAAAATGATTAAATTGATAGAAATTAACATTTATATTATAATTTTGAATTCTCAATTTTTGAAATCGCGAACAGAAAACCGTTTATATTTCTTTTTCAAATAACATATTGTTTGATAAATATTTAAAGATTAAAGGTTCTGAACTTTAACTTAACCTAACCTAACATAATCTCACATATCCTCGTGGTTTCATGCTCGTCGGCTTTTTTTTTGTCAGGAGTTAGACTGGCGACTACCGCGCAACATCTGATAACGAATTGCCTGTGATTGGCGTATACTTTGGGTTGACGAATCTATTGGTCCCTTTTAAATGAATACCTTAGATTAGTTTATATTAAAACGAGAAATTATTCTATTATATCTTCTATATATACATTTTTTATTAACTCTATATATAAATTATTTAATTATTTACTTTGTGCTCAGATATTTTTATCGATTAAAAGTTTATTTTATATATAGAATAAGGCAATTAAAATATAATATTAGAGAAGCTATATAATTAAACTCAGGGAATGGAAGAGTTACTTTTACAGTTACTTTTTATAACAATGTGGTAACAATGTTGCAATTTTTTATAACTATAATGATTACTAACTAAACGCTTAAGAGGTTAAAACTAATGACATATTATTTTTCTTAAAGACAGTTATGTTTTTACACTAATTAAGTCATTTCATTATTCTGTGCATAAAGGTATCAAAGTATTATTAAATAACAGTTTATATAAGATATTTTATATTTTACCAAAATATGCCAGAAAATAAAGTATAATTTTTTTATATTTCTTAATACTTTTGTATACAGAATAGTTAGGAGAATTTTATATTATGTAAAAAAATATATCATTCCATTAAAAAAATTAAGGCAACTTGCATATGATCTTGACAAATTGATTAAATATTGATTTTATTATTATTATTATTTGTTTCTCTTGAAATCATACAACTTTTATCTAAACATATTTTTTATTTGAAGCATACTTTCAGAGATAACAACTTATAATACTTTAAACCCACCTTGTATATATTAAAAGCAAGCTGAGCTAAACTTAGAATTTTTGTTAGGAAAGCCTATTTATATTAAATAAAAATATTATACATTTTTGTTTGTAAAATGTATAATTTTATAAATCATACCTAAATTTCTAGGTATACTCGTGACCGAGATCAGAATAGGGGCTGTCGTGGTGGTACTACCAAGATGGGAAGTACTGGTAGAGGCGGCAATGATAATGGACGTGGTGTTAGCAGGTTCAGCACACCCAGAGGAAACGCTAATAATTTGCGAGGGGGATTAAAAGGAAAACTACCTGGTGGCGGTCTGAGGAAAGTAAACTGGGAGCTTTGTACTTTGGAACCATTACGCAAAGATTTTTATGTAGAGCATTCCGCAGTCAGGAACAGGTATTAGTACTGTTAGTAATATTAAATTGAGATAAACAATGAAATGTGTTTACGAATGTAATTCTGAATTAGATCTGATGAAGAAGTATATCATTTTCGAGAGAATGCAGAAATAACTGTGAAGGGTGACAATGTTCCTAATCCTATACAATATTTTGAGGAAGGAAACTTTCCACCTTATGTAATGGAGGGTATTCGTAGAGAAGGATATTTGCAGCCTACTCCAATTCAAGCTCAAGGATGGCCTATTGCACTTAGTGGCAGAGATCTTGTTGCAATCGCTCAAACTGGTTCTGGGAAGACACTTGGAGTAAGCAGAATCAGAAGTATATTTAATATAATAATAAATAGATATATAATAAATAAATATGATAAATAAGAAGCTTCTATCAATTTCAATAAACGAACTCTCAAAGGTGTAAACAATAGACTTTTATTATTCGTTTTAATCTTACAAACAAATGTTGTCCGTGAGATTAAAAAGAATAATAAAAGTCTATTGTTTACACCTTTAAAAGCTCGTTTATTGAAATTGACCTGGTAAAAGCTCCTTATTTATTTTTGAATTTTGTACGAGCGAGTTGTCTGATTTTTCATTGTAATTATAAATATATAATAATAACAAATAGATACATAATAGTAAATACATATAATTATATGTTTTATATTCGTTTTCTATTCTCACTTGTTTAGACAATAATTAGTTATTTTAATAACTTTACATACATACTCTTTAAAATAACTAAATAATATACGGCTCTAATGAATACAATTCAAATTATATACAATACAAGAATTCTTAGAGCTCGGTTAGTCTTTTTGCGCTAATATTTATAATCTTATATGTCCATAAAAACGTTCGTATGTTTCGACCTTCAATATATGCATAATATTCATTGTACTTACTAACTTATCTCTTCTGTAAATCTTTATTTGCTTGATACATATACATGTGCTTGCATTGACTGTCTCGATTTTTCATTGTCATACATCGCATTCATCAACATCTTTAGAAGAATCTTAAGGAATTTTAAGGAATCATACTTTATATAATTTAAATAAAATAATGTTGATTAAAATAATGTACTGGATGTACAAGTAGATATACAACATTTTAAAGATGTATTTATATATGTTTGTATTAAATTATTTTATTTTTATTTTTCAGTATATTTTACCTGCAATTGTGCATATTATACATCAACCACGCATAAGCACTGGTGATGGACCAATTGTCTTGATCTTAGCTCCAACCAGAGAATTAGCTCAACAAATTCAAGAAGTGGCTAATAGCTTTGGAGAAACTGCGGCTGTAAGAAATACATGTATTTTTGGTGGGGCTCCAAAAGGACCACAGGCACACGATTTGGAGAGAGGCATTGAAATATGCATTGCTACGCCAGGTAGACTAATAGATTTCTTAGAAAAAGGAACTACAAACTTATGTAGGTATGTATACCTATAAAAATTCAGTGATAAATCCAAATTGTATATTGGAGATTAATAATATAAATTTACACAATCTAAATATCTAATATTCTTTTATTTGTTAATTTTAGGTGTACGTATCTAGTTCTCGATGAAGCTGATCGCATGCTAGATATGGGATTTGAACCTCAGATACGAAAAATAATTGAGCAGATACGCCCTGATAGGCAAGTGCTAATGTGGTCAGCGACGTGGCCTAAGGAAGTTCGCGCGCTTGCAGAGGACTTCTTGACGGATTATGTTCATCTCAATATCGGTTCTTTAACCCTGTCGGCTAATCATAACATTACTCAAATCATTGATGTTTGTCAAGAGTATGAGAAAGACTCGAAGCTATATAGATTACTTCAAGAGATTGATACTGAAAAAGAGAATAAGACCATCATATTTGTGGAAACTAAACGTAAAGTGGACGATCTCACGAGAAATATTAGACGCGAGGGTTGGCAAGCTGTGAGTATTCACGGTGACAAAAACCAGCAGGAAAGAGATCATGTGTTACAAGAATTCCGCAGTGGAAGAGCGCCGATTTTAGTCGCAACTGATGTAGCTGCTAGAGGCTTGGGTATGTAAAATTTTATTCAGTTGTTTTAGTGTAGGCGAGACACTAAGAAAGTCACGGTTAAACTGGGTATTGGCAACACTTATTGGATTAGCCGGATGATGCGTTGTTAGAGTGAGGCCAGCCGACAGCTGTGTATGTAGCAGTGTGTGATGCATTAGAACTTTTTTATCATATTCGTTTCGATTGTATTGTAGAGCCATGTAAAGTTCACATTGTTCTGATTTATGCTTTTTTACATTTTTCATTCTGCGATTACATGTGTGTTGAATTTTTTTAAACAAGTTCGTTGATTTATTCTCTCTCTCTCTCTCTTATTATTTAGTCTTTTGTATAAATCCATTTTAATTTTTTATTGTTCTAACCCTATTAATCCTTGTCGTATATGAATAAATCTTTTTTCTCATGTAAAAGTCATAGAAACAGTTTTGCTACATACTTCAATGTTTAATTTATAACTGTATTAATTATATTGGTATATGACTTCATTTCAATATTGAAATGAAGAGTTACTAATTTTGATGATGATATACATGTAAGATCAAGGTTCTGAAAATGCACACAAGCTACCACTAAGTCTGTCTGCTTTTCTTTTTCAGAGGCACAGAGTACCCTAACTCAACGCGGTGTACTGCCAGTATTGGGCAGACACAGTGACTATTTTATTTTTCTTTGTTTATATATTATAACAATTTCTAAATGGAAAGCTAGATTTATATGCGATTTAACTTCTGTCTTAATTTTCTCATTATGGAATAGCAAAGTAGACTATAACAACTATTAATGCACTAATCAATAATCAATTCAATAACATGATAATCACAATACATGTGTATTCAAATATTATTTGTAGTAATTAAAAATGAAATAGATTTCTTTTAAGCAAAGCTTCAAATATGTGAATAATTATATAATTAATAATTATAAACATATAA